TTGGGGGGGGGGGGGGGGGGCGCCTCCGAGAAATTACGGGCAAAACATCTTTCCCCTTAAGATGGGTTTTGGTTCATCCATGATGGTCTCGTCAAGTGGGCACCTCTTCCTAACGGTGCCAACGGTTGTTGTTGCTGCTGCTGCTGTCCGGGAGGGCCTCTGGCACCATTTTGCGAGGTATCGCCGCTGCCGCCGAAGTTGAAGCCGAAACCGTCGCCGCCACCGACGACGGTTTCAGTGTCCGTTTCCTCGTCTCCCCCTTCGTCCGAAGACTCGTAGCCGTCATCTCCGAAGAACCTGTCGACGATCGCCCCGGCGGCTTCTTGAAGCTCTGGATCAGCCTAAATGCCAAAGGTGCACAACAAGAGACAACTTCAACATCTATCATCACAATTGAAAGGTGTTCGGTTAAGACTTGCTTTGCTGCTGCAAGAGTGCGCCGGAGATGTGCGCAAGCGGGTACGGTATCGATCTCCCCAAGACCTGAAATCCATAGACTGCCGCATAAATAAAAACACGGAGAAGACACACACACACAAACGGGCCAAGACGCAAATCTCGCGAGGGAAAAACCATACGGTGATGAGATCGAATAGGTGACTCCGCGCAAGCCGGACAAGGCCAAGGGGCCGAACAAATCGACACGGCTGGGGGCACGCAGACCGTACAGCAGTACCTGTCCGGAGTAGTGCACGTCGTCGATGGCCTCCAAGCCACCGGCTGATTCCACCATCCGAGGACCACCGGGAACGTTCTGGCACACCAATTGCAGAAACGAAAGCGCACACCTGCGGCAAGAACCGGAAAACGAAAAAAACACAAGCATGCTATATGAATATGATATGAACTGCTGTCGGAAGATGTAATATGGAGATTATTTAGGAGAAGAGGCGAACTTGGGTACCAACGGAGCGTGACCTCTCACGTGTGCGTCCACGTTAACAGAGCCCTTCATCTGTGACTCGGAAGGCCCAAGGATTCGAGATTGTGCGCGGGTTTACGTCGCATACTAGTGAGTGATACGACACCAAAAACAGAAAGCCAGCAACGAGAAGGCCATCACGACCACCCAACCCATACACCACGGGTATAACACACCCCCAACAACACCCTGTCGCACCATAAAATAGCGCACACCGAAGAAACACCTCCTTCTCTCCTCACCGCACGTACCTAACTACCGGTGGCGACTGCGCGCGCACCAGCGCAACGTACGCGCCCATCACTCTGTCGTCCTTCGCCGCCTGCAGTAGCAGCTCCGAGTCGTGCGCCACGATGTTCCAGATCCCGTGTGCCGCCTCCTGCTGGAGGTCCAGCTGGTCCGAAAGCAAGAGCAGAGTCAAAGCCGCCGGCGAGCCCTGAGCTACCAGCGCCTCCCGGTGCTCTCGCCGCCCCGCCGCGACATTTGATGCCACCCAGGCGGCCTCCTTTACAAGAACTCTCCGCGACCGGTCCTGGACAGGCCAGGCCGTACGAGAGGTGAAAAAACAGGGATGGGGCCAGAGGGTAACGGGCGACGTACAGTAGTAGTGGATGAGAGAGGAGGGAGCGGTATGGGGTAAAGGGGTTGTTGGAGCAAGGGTTATTGCGGGGTGTAATGCTACTGCGTTTTGATGCCACCGCCACTCGCTACTCCTGATCGTAGCTGTAGCGCCTTCTTGACCAAACTGTTTAGAAGAGGGAGTGTGTGTGTGTGCCCAGCAGCATGCACAATGCAACACACGTACCACCGCTTTTCACCGGCCAGGCAGGCGTCGCACAAAGCGGCACGACGTGGTGGTCTCCGAGTGGGATGAAAGAGAAGCTGAACCATGGGAAATATTGCATGAGCGTGTGGTTAGGGGCGGGGGTCGGGGGTTCCCACAAGACTCGCCGCGTGCGATACTACTACGCCGGTCAACAAAGAGACATTGGTGCGCCTTAACAGCGCTGTATATGGTCGAGTTTAGACTCGTATCCACCGTGGGAGATAAACGGTAGGAGTGGATCAGAGCGAAAAAACGCCAGGGACGGGGGTTCGGGATTGATCAGAGCGATAAACGCGGGTTCAGGATTGCACACAAGGGTGGAGAAGCCTCCCACCACAACATACCCACACAGAGTTGAACATGCGAACCGCATGCATAGCTTCACTCGGCACCAAAGGGTACCAGTCACCTGGCTCTTAAGCACCGCGTCCAAACAAGGTAGGAACTCGTTGTGCAGCATGACCGCATCCGCCCACTCCTCCTTGCCGCTGACCATGTTTCCCAGGGTACGTAACGCCGGCGTGCAGAGAGGGTCCTGGTCGTTTGAAGGACCCCAAAATGGCGAGCAGACGCAGGGGAGGGGAAACGGTCGTGTTCAGACGGCAGACGAAAACAGTCAAGCCAGCTCTGACAGATGTATGTAGCGCGTGTGCACACAGGGAGAATAGTGGGCTGCTGCTTGAGAGTCACTAATTCGAAGCGCTTGGATAAGACGCTTTACCTCTGGTAAAATGTATCCGTGGAGTGTGTACTCCTAGTCTTCTACTTAGGATTCGACAAACTGATCGATGACATCGGTTTTTCTCTTTTTCGGCGGATTGGTCGACCTCCCTGGCGGACGACTCCGAACCACGTGCTCGAGCTCTGAAACGCAAATTGCGGCTGTAATCAAGGTGTCTGCGATCACCGAATTGTGTTGGCAGAAGGTCGAGGTTTGAACGTTTTCATTGGAGCAAGTTCGCAAATCTCCCGCAAGACTTGCACGAAGCTTGCGCGAAATTTGCCATCCTTGCTCCACAGAAACTTATCAAACTTCGACCTTGCCAACGCAGAAAAATAAACCGCAGACGTCTTCGATGGCAGCTAGGTGCCATTCTTTTCTCGAAGCTTCAATACCGGTAGGTGGTTCAGAGTCGTTCACGAGGCAGACTCCGCAAAAGGACAATAAAAATAATTCGAGAGGAAGATTTTTCAAAAAAAGCAAAAAAAAAAAAAAAAGAAGCCGGCGTCAACGTCGTCTCCCACAGCAGCAGTCTTGTCGTCAAAAATGTGCCGCAACCAGGCCACGCTGCACAACACAAACCCGCTGTTCACTTTCGATACAACCACATTTGCAGCCAAGACAAGTTATCGACTGACCTGACCCCCGCTGTCTACGAGCGCCTCAACGAGAGCGGTCACCATGCCGACTCGAACCAACTCTGTCACCGTCTCCTCCTCCTTGGCGGTCAAAAACGCCAGGATCCACGCCGCCTCCACCCGGAGGGCTTCATCCCGAGGAGGCACAAACGGCGGTGCACCAGCTCCCGTTCCCGCCCCCGCCGCCGCCGCTGCCGCCGCCGCCGCTGCTGCGGCAGAGAATCGGACGCCGCCCCTGAGGGACGCCACAAATGTTGGCGCCGCCTGCACGAAGGGCTCGCCGGGAGTCTCGTCTCCGCGTGCGAGGTTGGATATCGCCCACGCCGCTGTTCGTGCAATCTCGATCAGCTGTCCGGTGGTCCAGCGGGGGAGGGGGGTGAGAGGTGGTGCTGGGGACGGCTGACAGCGGTTGGTTGGAGACTGCCCCGCGTTTGAGGAGAAAAACAGGGATCGGATCAAAAACGTTCTCAAGCTCAACATGAAGTCGGCGCCCGAACGTCTCTTTGCGAAACGCGACCCAAACGTAGCAGCCTGGCCCGTCCTCACCCTCCATCGGAGTGAGACCATCCTTTTTCACAAAATTAACACACGCGGGGGGAGCAAGAGGAACGCAGCCAAACAAAACACGTACCGGTGGATTCTGCAGCAGTCGGAACATGGGCAGCAGCGCCCCGTTCGCCCGAAGCATCCTCCTGAAGTCGTCGCTGTCGCCCGCGATGTTGCCGAGCGCCCACAGCGCCTGCTCTTGAAGAGCCGGGTTGGGCGCCGACAAAAAGCTGATGAGCTGCGGCGTGGCACCGACGATTGTCCGAGTATGCCGGCTGTAGCTGCTGGCAATGTTTGTTAGACACCTATTTTTGAGGTAAACGAGGTTGACGTATTCAGCTTGACATCTTGGCCAAAATAAGGCGTTGTGTTTTGAATTCCCCCTTGTTGCAGTGGCCTACCCCACCCGGAGTGCAATAGGGCACGGTGGGTCGATAGCTTACCAGCTCACCGGGAACAACCAAAAGCTGCAGTCGAGCAAACAAACACTCCCCAAATTAAAAACTCGAGTGAGCGCCACGGCTTGCCCGCCACCTTGCCTAAGCCTTCCTTTAGCGCTACAACTCTTCCTTGTCAAGGCGAATCGTTTCAAGCCTAGAGCGCCCCCAGTCACCCCGGGGATGGCGAGATAGCGTCCCCTGAAGTATGATAGACGCTCCCCGCCATAAAGACGCCTTTCTTTAAGAAAACAACCATCTGCTTCTGAAAGGGGTGCTAAAGCAGTAACACGGGCCGTTATTGGCTTCTAGTCTAGTTCCGAGCAAACTCGAAAAGATATTTCTGTTCAGAAACGATTGAAATAGACGCTAAATCGGTAGAGGCGCTTGGTGTGCTCGGCCGTGACCTGCGGGGCCTCTTGGGTATGTGGTATCGGATAGTCCGATATGTCGGAGCCCCTCGTTGCTTCTTTGTGTCGTTGTTCCCCTCCCGTTAACAATACAACTTGGTTTGAACGTGTTGGAAATTTTGGTCAATCTCGCTATCAGGCAATTCCCGGAGCTCACCTGACATCCCTTGGTAAATAGACTACAGCACTTCATTTACCAAGGGATGTAAGGTGAGCTCCGATATTTACCCCGACGGCGAGATTGACCGAAGTGTCCACAACATGTTCAAACCACGTTGCACTGTCTACGAGAGAGAGAGAGAGGAACAGAGAGAGAGAGAGAGAGGAAGAGAGAGAGAGAGAGAGAGAGAGAGAGAGAATACGTTAGGAAAAAGACAGAGGACACAGGGCGGAGTTCAGACATCGGGTTTCAGGAAAATACCCGAGGGGGAGGATACTAAATAATTATTTGCCGCCCCCAGAGTAGAGGGAGGGGCAGACTATATCCTCAACTGGCCCCCCAATACCATTTCAAACGTAAGGCCAAGTTGTCACAGTAATTTCTTCGAAGTGGAATTCCGAAATTACGCCTTTTACGCCCAAGCCCAAAAAGAGGCGGCAGGAGTTCTGCGCACTTGGTTGGAAAGCACAACAACTCGCTTTGTCGCTCAGCACTCGCCTCACAGAGATCCGTTTGCAATCAAACCTTCGATGCTGTACGCTACATTGCTTGTCATAGCCAAGTTTGGGGAGCTTGGGGTGTGTGTGTGTGTGCCATGGACGATTCCTGGCTTGAATTCCTCGTGCACGAACTAGAAAGGGTAGTGAAATGTTGTACATACGAAGTACACGAAGTGGAGAACAGGGTGTGAAGTGTTGTAACCATTGTTGTACATACAAAGGTAGGACAAGATACGATCTGAGAGCAGTATCTCGCCGAGGGTTGAACAGCAAGAAACCCTACTATGGATGTACGACCCTCTTCAAAGCCACGTAACGGAGTGAGAGGTCTTCGGTCCTCCCTTCCCTCTCCCCTTCGGTGTCACCCTCTCTTCCGATACCTTGTTTCTCCATGCCAAAATCTCCAGAAAGAAAAACTCCCAGCCTCCGTCAGTGGGTACAGGCAACTGCGACCTGGGTCTCTTTTCAACGAGGGAAGAAGCCTGGGTCCTTATTGGTGTCGACGAAGAGGTCTCAAATTCCACACTGGAAATTATGAAGTTGCTACATCATACGATATCCGAGGCAAGGGTAGTTTGCACACGCTCCATTTTTAGGCGTTCAGGTGAAACTCACAGCAGTGGGGTGTACAGCCTCGACGATGTAGTTACGAACCGGTCTCCGTGAGGCGAGCACTGAGTGATGCGGTGCCCTCGTGTGTGATCTATTTCCAATCCAGTGCGCAATAATTCTGCTGTGGGGGTTGATCATTTTCCCTGGAAACCCCGGCTACCAAACCGGAAATTGATTACCACGGCCTAAAACCAAGCTGGATCAAGGGCAGAAAAAATATGGGCAAGGCGGAGGGGGGTACTGCAGAACGTCTGAAATCCCGCTCCGCGTAGTCGGAGCAACGGGGGCGCCGACATACCGACCTATCGAACATCACACGCCCAACAGGCTCCCTCCCGCGGATGGGCGTCGCGGATGGGCGCCACGACCGAGTCTGCTGTACATGTACATACACCAAACAAGAGAGTACATTCTTGAGCAGCGGCGACGCGCGTCTTGGCACGCACAGATCTGCTACTGGGGCCGCACGGTCAAAGGCTGCAATTAACTTCGTTCGCACATGTTCGCAAAGCTGGATCTATATCTACCACTCACGATCCGCCGGACGTACGAATACGCGCCGTTTGAAGACCCAATCCCTCGAACTGCGGGTCGTCCAAGGCAGCTATTTAGCGATGTGAGCTACTGCTGTACACTGCTGTACACTCACCGTTCAGGAGATTGGTGGATCTATGACGGCGCGTACAGTGGTAGTGGATTGTGAACGCTATGGACCCGGATTTGCGGACTTTTTTCGGAAGACAGCTCCAGTCTTCTCGACAGCACGGACACAGCAGCGTGGGCATACTTGTCGCTGGTCCATCGAATCCTCTACCCATCTATTTAGAATCTACTGCTGCTGTACTACATCAATACTATTCAGACGCACAGAACCTGTTAAAAAGCACTCGCCGTGTCGCCTGTTCCGTCTTGAAGCTAGAGTTAAGAGAGAGAAAGTGATTCGAGAGGGGTGTTGACGGCAGGCTGCATATTATGCTGGTAGAGATTCAGAGACAAGACAACCGTTGGGCACTTTCAACTATCAACTGAAAGAATATTAATCCTTCCGCTATTAACTGCTGGCCGCTGCTGCTGAAAATGCGATCGAACCCAGAAACCCCATGTTGCCTTTTTTCGCACGTACGTGCGTGCATATGTATGTGTAGTACATGGCGGTTGAACGTATTATAGTCGAAGAACCAACAACTTTCTTCGCCAACGAATATGTCGGCTCTTCCTGCCACAACTCTGGTTCCATGGTAGTCTATATCTACACCGGATTTAGTCTACGCCGTATAGATACCACGCCAACAGACAACACGGTCACAGCCACCCAAAACACCGACAACCAACGCACCCCGACACTTCGCACTAACCACGTGGTCTCTAGCTGAACCTCGTCGTGAGGCGTTGAGAGGAGCTCAATCAGCCTCGGCGCCAGCCCCCCGCCTTCGACCACCTCCTCAACTGGAGGATCCTCCAGCGACAGCAGCTTCCGCAGCTCCACAAGAAACGGCAAAACCTGAGACACGGGGCGTTCCCTGACGCCCCGGATGGCTGACTCCAAGCGCTCTCTCGACCATGGCTCCTCCTGCTGCCCCTGGGCAGAGGCACCGCCTGCTACGCCTGCTGCTGCTGTTGTGGATTGATGAGCTGCTGCTGGTGCTGCTGTTGACGAGTCGAACTTACGTCGCTTTGCCAAGACGCCCTGCCTTCTCGCGGAGCGTAGCTCTTGCGCACGATCTCGACGCTTGTGGGTCTGGTTCTCAAGAAGTAGAGGTTTCGACTCACGATTCTTGGGTGGCATTGCGACCTACTCGCACAACAACACGCAGCGTGACTAGCGCTGCAGGATGCGCTCCCAGAGACTGGAATCCTGCGGAGGGGCTCCGCAGACAGATTCACGAAAATACCCGTGTACCCTCCGTTCGCACCAACGCGGCTAAACCGGACCTGCTGCTGCGCTGCCTGCTGTGCCTGTGCTCACAGAAATGTCAGCAGCACGGAGCAGCAGGAGAGTGGCACGCACAATCAGCGGGAGACAAGGAAAGTAAACAACGATGGCAAATCGGGACGACCAAGGGAAGAATCTCCTAAGGATGCTGCAGGCCGCCCAGCCGGCGCCCGATGTGGCTGGCACCGACGCCCCGCAACATCAATTCGACGACACGCCCAAGTCGTCGGCTCCTCTCGGTTACCCCTTGCTGGCAATGGACGTACGAAGTGCCGCTGCCGGAGAGCAGCAATACCCTGACGCCTCTGCTCCTTTTGACCGCTCGACCGACCTCCTTCCTCGCCCCGGTGCCACGGTGACCACACCCGCGCGCTCTTCCGGCGCAAACCTTCTCCGGATGCTCCAGCCGGCAGAGGCAGCAATTCAACAACAACATCAACAGCAGCAGCAGCACCCGCAGCAGCTGGAGAACCAATACCAACAACGACAACTCCAACACCAAGTCCGGCAACAGGGAATGTCCTCGCCTCCACCACCTCCGTCGACTGCACGAAGAAGCAACGTCGCGGCGGAGCAGGAACGGTTTCTCAAGAACTTCCTAGCGATCGGAGGTGACAACGGCAACAACAACAACAACAACAACCCGGCGGAAAGCAGCTCTCTGCTGGCCGTACCTCCGCCGCCGCCGCCTCCGCAGCAGCAGACGCCGTTGGCTCCAGCAACTCCGCCTCCGAGAGCACCACCACCACCACCACCGCCACCAGCAGCCGAGAACAGCAGTAAGCCACACGTAAGCAGGCCCCGAAGCAACAGCGTCGGTCAGGGCAAAGGTCGTGGCAACCGAGAAGGGAGAGGCAGAGGAGGCAGAACTCCACAGCACGGTGGGCGGGAGGCGAACGGAGGTCGAGAAGGGAGAGGCAGAGGTTGCCGAACGCCACAGCACGGTGGGCGGGAGGCGAACGGAGCTCGAGAGGGGAGAGGCAGAGGAGGCCGAACGCCGCAGAACGGAGGGCGGGAGGCGAAAAAGGGGAAGGGTCGGGGAGGTGGTGGTGGTGGCGGGAGAGGAGGAGGGGGGGTGCCGGCGGCGCCGGCGGCATCACCAAAGTACGCTTGGTCCGCCTTTCAAAACTCTCCGGACCCCAAGAGCATCCCCATCCCGTCGCTCCGGCATTTCAATCTGGACTCCTCGCCTTCGGGGGAAGAAAGCGCGGGGCCTGGAGTGGGAACTTCTCTAAGCTGGCGAGATACCACGGAGCAGGAGCAGCACCAGGAGCAGCAGCAGCAGCGGCAGCGGAGTACGAGTGTTGAGGGACACGATGGGCCAACTTCTGGCGGGGGCTGGAGCACCCCGCCCCCGGCGGCAGAGAGAGCTCCAAGGACTAGAGGGGCAGAGAGCAGCAGCCGGAGCTCCGCCAAGAAGGCGGAGGACGACATCAAGAGAATGCTACGGTTGGGGTAGACTAACGTTTTGCATCAAGGGTGGGTGTAGAGTGGTATATGGGGGGTTGGATAGTCTGGCTGGGTAGCTCAGCAGCAAACTCCTCGTCTTGGTATCGCCGGGTCAGCCAGGCGTTGAAGTTGTTGGTACCCTTTTTTTGTACATCGTCTGTTATCTTGTGTGTCGTCTGTTTCATGCCTTGCTGTTGCGGTTGCACTTGTGGGATTAATTTCTGAAAAAAGGTTTTGCGTAGAGTATATACAGCCTACATGTCTCTCTGGCCTTTCGAGCAAGCGGGGGGCTGATGCGAACAGGCGCAAATGTATGACGGAGCACCAGTATATTTTCACAGCACAATCGTGTTGCGGGCTCGCTGAATAATGATCCGGAAGGTCTCGAGCTTATTTTTGTTTTGTGGAGTCAACGGTCTCATACTCTTGCGTCTCGTAGAGTTACAACTGCTGTTCGTTCGAAAAAGCTCCGTCGTGGTGTTTCCGGAGGAAACGCAACCGTTGCCTCACAAACGTTTCTTGGCAGGGGAGCTGCAAGATCGTGCTGGGAAGGCAAGGCCTCCTGTTGATGGTTCCGGCGCCTTGCCAAGAGATGTAACTTGCCCTTTGTGTTCATTGGGTGGCTTGCGTGCTCCTCTCTTGACCGCTTTGTGTGGATTAGCGCAGGGTCACGTGTTGATGTATGGATGGATGGGTCCTCATGTGTCACTCTTTTCGCATCTCGATGAGCGTACACAACTACCTCAAACTTTTTTTCTGGCGGTTTGTGAGGGAACAGTTCTTGCGAATTTTGAACGTTATTAACCTTCATTGGTGACGACGGCGACGGATTGTTGTGGTGTGATTTTATTTTTATTTTGTTTGGGTCGTTCGGCGCGCGCGAGGCCGGGCGGCATTGAACTCAAAAACTGCCGTAGCAATCAGTACGTCAGGAACGAAGTGCGTTGTCAACCGACCATGGTGCCATGGTGACCGTGTCTTTCGATGTCGGCTTGTGCGTGAGGGCAGAAGTGAACTCAACCAACCCGTGCTGGGATTCTGTTCAAATGGGATGAGCGTAAATGAAGATAAAGTTTACTCTTGCTGCCGGAAGGTACGCACCACGATGGTGCTCTTGTCCGGCTGAGCACCGACGTTTTCACCCGGCAAAGCGTGGTCACCTTTTGAATCCAGGTGCTGCTTCCAAGCGAGTGCGGACAGCAATTCCTGGCCATTTTTTCTCAACACACATGTGAAACATGCTGAAACACGTGGTGTGAGACGTGCGTGTCTTGGGAAACAACGACTGCTTTTGAACGTTATCCGGAGGTAGTCCATGCGCGCCCACGCATTCCCCTTGCTCCTCTGAGTTTTTTTTTTTTCGCACCGCCCTCGTACCTACAAAGAGGGTCATTTGACAGGACTTGAGACGGCACTCGGCACCACAAAAGGTTCGAAGGAATGCAGCGAACGCAAATTCCTTTGCGTACCAAACCTACTCTTTCTTGGTTCTCGAACTGCTTCCAGGAGCGAAGGCCGAAAGCCCGGGGCGCACGTTCTTCAATAACTCCACGAATTCCGCGGCAAAGGCGCGATCGAAAACTTGGTTAGAAAAACGCCGCGCCGACTCCCTGCCAGCGACGCGAACAGCCTCGCTGGAAAACACACTCCCCTGTCGCTCTTCTTGCCTGCCCACCTCTTCTTTGCCTTGTTCGCCACCACCCTCCCCCGCTTGCTTCTGTCGCTCCGCGTTTCCGCCGCTGTCACAAGCATGGTTGCTTCCTGCACCCTCGGCCTGCTGCTGCAACACCAGGCCTTTTCCTTGAACGGCTTCGCCGCCCTCTCCTTCCGGTAGTTGATCCCCTATTGTCCTGCTGCTACCTCTGGCGGCCGTCGTAGGCATCCGACCGTTCTCGCTGAAGACCCTCGCCATGGCCTCGGCGTATTCTTGCGGAGTCTCCGCCAGGAACCCCGTGATGCGGCCATCCGGCAGAGGGACGACAATATCCGCCGCGGGTCCCCCCGACCGATGAGCGATGGTCACCACCCCCGCGGCCTGACATCGCCCCCATATGTTATAGGTCGGATGGGGGAGAGACAGGAAGCGACGACAAAAGCAGCACCTTGAGACATGCGATGCAAAATGATACCGGCTGAATGCACCGAAGCCCGCAACGCTTTCGGGTCTTGTCTCCCTACCAGCGTTTCAATCCTACAAAGATTGTGGCCCTGTCCAAACGCTCGACGCTTTCAAACCTGCTATCCTATGTACGCGATGGGAAACATCGAATGAAGGTCACTTTTGCTCGGGAAAACGTAGGTGCCAGAAACTGAGGCAAAATACCGGTCTCCACGGCCTCACTGGCCAGCACGGCGACCTCCCGCGTGTGGGATTTGCCAGTGCTTCGCATGTGTACCTCCCTTTCGTATCAATTGTCTAGGGTTATACCAATTGGGCATTTCTCTTCGATTTACTTTCCGTTTAGAACGGCCTTGTTGCTCGTTGCGTTTTCCATGGAAGACCTACAACCCGGGGCGAACGGCCTTGTTCCTTTTTGCGTTCTCCATTGAGGACCAACAACCCGGGGCGAAAAAATGATTCCTTAACTTCGTACAGGGACTTCTAAGTGCATTAGTGGAGATTGGTGGGGACAATGCGTATCGTTGGTGTGCAATATATGCCGTATTGACACTTCTTGTCGGGGCTCAAGTGGCGGTGCTGCTACACTCTGTTGTTGCAAGTGCTACCCCTGTGGTCGTGTTCTACTCTGGTTACCCCGAGTGATTGCACGCATGCCTACTCAGAACGTCAATAGATTTATTTCAAGTTTTCGAGTGGGAATCATCGATCTCTACAACGCGTGCGACATCCATTGCCCTCTTCTCTCGCTCCTTCCCACCGGTAAAACGGAGTTGACAGCTTCAGAAGGGCAACACCGGCAAAAGCTGTGATCGCAGCACGAAACACACCCACGCAGGATACACGCACACACCGTTTAGGCGCGCCATGCTTCGGTAAAGTCTGCCATTTTTCGACGGAAGTTTCCAAGCCAGTACATATAGATACAACACAGAATTGTACAAGTGCTAGAAAGAGGCCCAAACAACATACAATGTGCAGACGACGGCAACGACGACAACGAAGACAATCAACTCACCATCATCTCCACCACGCCGATCCCGAAGTGCTCGTTCCACATCGTGTGCAGCCCCACGCTGGCCCGCCCCAGCCACGCCTTAAGCTCGTCGAAGCTACAGTTCACGACAAACTCCACCCGGTCCGACACCCCGAGATCGACCGCCAGCGATCGCGTCCTCTCAAGCACCGCTCGGTCGCCATCATTGCGACAACCGCCCAAGATCACCAGCCGCACATCATCAAAACAAGGCGGCTCGCCGCCACGGTCTCTGCCGATTTTTCGGAGGGCTGCTAGAGCCCAGACTTGCAGACCGTGATCCTTCTCTGGCCTGAACTGTCCCACCGAGAGGGCACAGCGTTCTCGGGCTTCGCTGTTGATCGGGAGGTTCTTGTGGGATGCACGGCGAGAGGGGACAGCAGTGGCGCGAGGCCAGAGTAGCCGGGACAAGTTCAGATGGCGCAAAAATTAGAACTGCACCAGCTCGCGTGCGTCACCACTGGTGATCAACCTTTGAGTTCACCACCGGTAAGAACTGCGGTACAGTTTGTTCGGTGGTTGGAAGGACAGCAAGGGCATTTACCTACTGCGACGAACGTGCGTGCACGGATTCTAACACCTGCCGAATTTGCAACCACCGATAATCTAGTGAACAACCTTCCTAGGCGTAGCGGGTGCGCGTCTCGCCCGGCACCACCCTTACGCCGAATACATGGTTAACCCGCACCTCTCCTTCTTCTCACCTCGAGCTCCGAAGTGTCGCAAGGAGGAAACACAACGGTGGGGGGGCGAGAGCGCCTCCAAAGGGCAGCGATGTGCCCCCTTGTCCACGACGAGTTGACCATTACTCTCGACGCGAAGAGGCCGCCCGCGACCCCATACATGCACGCGAACGCGCGGTAGTACAGGAGCTTACCCCACGACACGGCCACGCTGGAGGCGATCCAGGCGCTGTTGTTGTGGGAGGGGCGCCGGTCCCGCACTCGCGACAGCATGTCCTTTGGGGTGTGATGTTGAAGGGGGGCGGGCATGAAGGAAGTGAACGGTGGATTATTTTGAGACGAGTGATTGCGATGTGATGGGAAACTATTGTAGGGACACCCACGCGGGGCGTGTACCCGACCGTTCGGTACGTTTTCCGACGTTCTGAAAGGAACGGCAAGCAATCATACTCTGGTGAGATGTCCTCACAACACCCAGCGTACGTGTTGGAACCAATCGTCGGCCGCCAACGACGACTCCCTACATGGAGCAGTAGCAGACAGTCATACTTCCTAGAGGCCCATATCCTCCACTGCTCCTGTATCTCGAATGGGTAATCTTTCTGTGTTGTATTTATGTTTGCTGAAATCTGGCCCTAACCTCGTGCTGTGAGCGCTGATTTGACGTGAAGACAAAGTAAAAAAAAAAAACTACGAAACTCACCGAACTGATCGTCGGGTAGTGCACGTATGCCGCAACCGAGCACCCAGCGAGCCAGGCAACTGGAAACGAGAATGCGAATCCGGTCGTGTCGATGAACAAGTCCGGGGTGCCACGACAGAGGGCTTCGGCGGCGAGGACCATGGACGCCAAGCTCTGCGCCAGCATGGTGAGTAACGGGTACAAGCTCGCATCCAAGAGCCGCCGCCTCCGAAGGTAGACGAAGCTTACGGGGAGAGCGGCGGGGTCGACAGATATGTCGAAGTGTCTCGCAACTCTCGAGAGGATGTCTTCGGGCTTGATGTCAACGTCCCCGGTGTAGATCAGCACGTGAAGAGGTGTCCCTATGTCGTCGGACAGGCGGGAAAGCGTGTGCACCGCACGCCACAGGACCCGCTCCCCTCCGCCTCCGCCGGCGCAAAACGGATGGAAAAACCCAACCGTGGTTGCACCAGGAGCAACGCCGTACCGTCGGCGCGTGCGCCATCGGCAGGCGTACACAAGCACTCTCAAGCACGCCCACGAACACACAGCAAAGTGTATCAGCAGTACTGGGAGCCACATCTCACACACGCAGCGCACACACGCGGATTGTGCATCCGATCATCCGATCATTCGTTGTTGATCGTCGGCACAAAAGGCGGCGCAACTACAACCAGCGGGGACAAAAACGCCTCGAGAACCCGCGAGATAACAGACACGCTGCGGTGCTGCAGCGCACCCTGCCAGCTCACGGCCATGGGATGGGAGCTCTCCAGAGGTAAGCACGCTAGTGTTGTCCACCCCACAGCTCCGCATACTCTCATTTTCAACTGCAGCTACGGCTGCCACCCTGCGCTGAAAATAGAAAACAACCATGGCAGTGTTTTGGTTCGCCGGCATGTTGTGATTCAGTCTCCAGCAACAGGTGCAGCTTCTCTTACAAGCGAAGGTATTTGCGGTACACCCGCAAACCCACACCGCAGTGCTGTACCGGGCAACCGTATCCACCTTCCGCACTGAACTATTCTGTTCCACACACTCATAAGAACACAGGCTTACCAGTTTTTACCTGTGCTCTCAGAACTCAGAACAAATAATGTGGGTGCTATGTAGTCGCTTGCAGTTGGTCGCTGTAGGTTGCAGTTGGACGTTCATGTTTTCTACGCTCAACGCGCCACCGGTTGCCAGAACTTGAATTCTGTCTGTTCATGTGATTCCGGAGCCCTTCGTCTTCGCCAAACATGTAGTGCTTTTCCCCATCGTATGTTATCTTCTTCTTCCTTCCGCTGAGCTTTCTTCCATCTCTCTCTTCACGCGCCCGGGTCGGAGCTTGGTCTCCTCTCACTTGATACACCACGGGTACAGCGGGCCCGGTGCCATGACGTATGATGACATACAGAGTTCCTGTCCACCTCCTTAACCCTTGCGATGCCCGCTAGACCGTTTCAGCTGACAGCAGTTTTGGCGCAACCCTTTCAACGTTTTCCAAGGCGTGCTAACACGGCACGCTACATGTCGTCAAGCGCCTTGTTTTTTCGCACATGGGGGCGGGTGTATGGACATGTAGTTACTCCCCACTTACCACCCCTCTCGACCATTCGTGTCGCGTCGCCAGACTTTGGCGGCGGCGGGCGGGGGTTCTGGCCCTCACATGGCTTTGCTTAGTCCGGGGCCACGTCCCGAGTACACCGCTAGACTCTGGAACTGGGGTGGCGCCGCCGCGTCCTGTGTTCACAGCAGCCGCTGGGGCAAAGGCGAACCTGCTCTCTTGCAACGGAGGCGGCAAAAGCAGCGGCAGGAGGGTTGAATTTTCGTCGCTACCTGCGGCTGCTGGCCTTCTTTCTCGCGGTGGAGGGTCTTCCTTAGACCCCACCTCCATTACAGAGCCTTCAGGCAAGAACGGCTCGACGGCATGTCTAGACTACGCCAGCCATGGGCGGCTTGTCGCCACCGGGCTCTCCGGGGGAGAGCTCTTTCATCGCAAGCGTGAGCAGCAGCAGCAGCAGCAGCCTCCGCTAGCGGCTGCGAAGAGCAACGAGGATGCGGCTAGCCCCTGGCCGGAGGCAAGGCGCGTCCTCAAGCGGTGTCTGGCGAGGGCGGCGAGTGGCGGGATCCCGGGGGCCGTCGCCGGCCTCCTTCAGGTCGTCACCCTCATGTGGCTGCGGACGATCGTGAACTACCAGTGCCGCTACGGCACTTCTATCGTGGCCGCGGCTTCCGAGCTGTACCGTCAGGGCGGGGTCCTGCGGTTCTACCGGGGGGTCGTGTTCGCTCTCGTATCCAACCCGATGTCGAGGTTCGGGATGGCGGCGGCTAACGAGGCGGCCATGGCGCTCTCAGACGCGCTCCCCATGCAGGTATTATACAGCAGTGGTAGCACCACCGCCGACGCACCATGCACCAAACCTACAAGAAATGGCCTGCGCGCACGTTTAAGCTATGGAATGGCCTCCTTCCCGCCGAAGTGCAATGTTGTTGTTGAATTCGTTGTCTTTAGCAGTCGCAACCGCTCGTATTTTGTATCCGATGTGCACACAAACGAACGGCATGCATGCATCTCCGCTCTCGGGGTCCATCCATCATTACTTCAGTTCCCTTTCGTCCAAGAGCGTACTATATATTACTAGTTCGTTTTTTAGACAACGTACACGTTTACCACACTCTCCTTGCAAAACCCACTCTTACATCGCCCCGCTCCTCGCCGCCGCGAGGTCAATGGTCTAGCGACTACGGCATGCACGACTTTGAGTACACCCCTCCCCCCCCCCTCGCTCCTGACCGCCAACACCACTATTTTGATGGCACCAACCACAACAGGTATCCGTGACGTTGACGACGTGGATCGCCAGCCTCTTCGCCGGCGTGTGGAGAGTCGTGTTGACCCCACTCGACACTTGCAAGACTGTGCTTCAGGTGGAGGGGCCCAAGGGCTTCGCGTCCTTGATGAAGAAGGTATGTGCCCATGCTGCTATCTAGTAGTAGACACTGCTTGTGCTAGCACTTAATTGTCTGATTATTTGCGGTGCTGTACCCGATTCCGGCACCGTTACCGTTGTGAACGTATCTGGTGTTTGGCCGTTGATCGGTGTTTATTTCGTGAATGATTGTGTCATATACTGTATCGCATTTGCCGGCGAGGCGTCGCGTCCCTCGTCCACGAGTAGCAATACTCCTTTTCGCGTCCATGTACTTCTCGTCTCACAATCCAAAACTATCGCGTGTTTCCAGCTAAAAACGATCACCCCAAACCCCGTGGGGAAAAAAAATGGTTCACCACCGACTTGCAAGGTGTGGGGTGGCCACCTCGGTTGCCTGTACCAAGGGGCAACCGCCGCCGCCGCCGCAACGGCCGTGGGGTACTTCCCGTGGTTCCTAACCTTCAACTACCTCAACGGGCGACTGAGGAGGCCCTCCGCCTTGGCAGGGATGCTCCTGAGGAACGCCGGCATCGGCCTCGCGTCTTCGGTCTCGTCGGACGTGTGCTCCAACTCCATACGCGTGCTCAAGACCACCAAGCAAGCGGCCGCCGCCTACGACTCGAAGGTCACGTATAGGGGGGCGGCGGCCCTGGTCATCGAGAACGACGGCTTGTTGGTGAGCGTTTTTTTTTTTTGGGGGGGGGGTGAATTGACAACATGGGGTATACCCCGCGTGTCCAGGCACAATATATATATATATCTTTTTCGGTGCGGGGCGCAATGCCTGACGTTTTTTTTTTTTTCCGTTTGGGTCCTAAAATTCCGACGGTGACATTTATTGCCGATTCTTCTGGGTGACGGCGAAACTTTTTTCACGGTATACCTTGTTTTTACCACCCCCTGGCTTCCCACAAGACCCGGTATATCGCTCAGTCGGGATGCGAGGTTAATGGTATGGTCTAATGACTAGGGCATGCGTTTACATGAGTACACCCCCTGGCTCCTGGCACTGAAAAAAGGCAGTTTTTGACCATGCGGATTCGAGACACCAAGTTGGTTAATTTCATGTGTCCCTCGTTCGGTACTTCGGTGCGATGCAGGGCCTCTTCGGTCGAGGCCTGTCTACCAGAATCCTTGCGAACGGGTTGCAGTCGATGCTGTTCACGGTGGTTTGGAGATACTTGCACGACAAGTACGTCGTGCCGAGGAGGGAGGCTGCGGAGCTACGGGATGTTAGAAATAGCCACAGCCGTAAGGGTAGAAGCAGTAGCAGTAGGACGAGCCGGCGATCAACATCGGCCCCCGCAAGAACAGCTAGACATAGCTAGGGTTAAGGTATTGAAGGCCGCTCTGGCGGTGGTCGACAGCGGTGGAAAGGCGGCCGCGGTGGTTTGATTTTGCGGGGGTAGGGGTGGCCGATGGTCCCCGATACATATGTGCCCAAAGCGTCAAACGTAGAGTTGTCTTTGTTGCGATCGAATCGGCGCCCTGTCGGGCCTTCTCCTCCCCGTAGCGTGGAGGCACAAGCTGTAGAGACGCCTAGACGTGTGCGGTGTCATCAGTTTCACTGGACATTCAAAATGCTTTTCGAACATCCATCATGTTGTCGTTTCTTGTCGTAGAATGGGCCCCAAAATCCAGGTCACGAAAACCGTGCCTCGTGTGCGCCACAGAGACAGTAGCGGCGCCGGCGCGGCAAAGCCGTTGAGGGCGGGTCTCTTCCTCCGATTCTTATGAGGAGCATGTTTCCTCGGCGATCCTTGTGGGCAAAAAGCACCGCGTGGCCGTTGAACGTCACGATAGAATAGATGTTCGGTTTGCGTAGCAAATGCCGCCCGTGTCTTCACGGCCATTCGAAATGTAGGGCACCGGTACCCAGATCATATTTCGCATGGGCGGCGGTGCAGTCGTCAGAGGCAGCTCGTATCGGCTACCGTGCCGCCGTTGAGTACGTTTTCAGAGCCTGGGTTGGAGTCTTGTGATGCACCATGGAACACGGCCCATAGGGCAAATGTACAGCAGCACCTTTCAGGCTGGGTAAGTCCATGGGTGTGTTCAAAGAAAAACAATCACGGGAAGTCTGAGAAACAACGACAACGCACACGTTGTCATAACTGCTTCTGGTGGTTGTTGGTGTCTACGTGCGTGTGGGAGCTGCTTTGCAAGCCGATTCTACAGCAATTCACTAACCTATTCCGTGGTTTATTCCACCACGAAATAGAATACACCATTCGATGCGGCATAACAGCGGCTTGTGTTTCACAAACAACCGGCGGCAGGTGTTACGGTGATTGGTCGGGCATCGATGCGGCCAGCCACACACCCAACGCGTTCTCTGTTCTGCGCGAACGCCCTTATAAGGTTAAGCTTGCCTGCGGTGTTATTTTCTTTCGGCGCACGCGCCAGCTTTGAAAGTGCAAATGGTGCGGGATTGCATGCTGTACGCAGTAACAGCGTGACGTCTTGGTTTTGACTCGAGACGAAAATGGCTTCAATGCACAGGCATTTGAACTCCCGACACAGACAGCTTGTCGAAACAGCTCTTAAAAGGAAACTCTTCATGTAGACTGGAGGTGCGACGCCTGCATTATAATTTTACGGAACCTCTGTGTGTAGTAAAAAAAATGCGTGTGGACTGAAAACGAACTTCAACACGTCGGACCATTCAACACAGCTAACCGTTGCCTGACCCCGTGTGTGAACCCCCCCCCCCCTGCCGAGCTGTTTACGCCATTAAAAGACAACCGTCTGTTCTGCCCAAAAGAAAGGAACGTGCAAGCACTTCTCAGTGAAATCCCAGAGGAAATATCTCTATTTATACTGCGTCCGCGCGATGAGTCGGCACCAACAACATAGCTGGATGGGAGACCTTTGCCCTGACCGCGTCTCCGGCACTGAAACCTAGGTTCGCTGGATATGGGGGGGCGTGGACCGTCTACACCAATAAGAACCCTCACATCCACCAGCAATAGATTTCGGTTCGACCAACTTCATTTCGCGATGAAGTAGCGTGCGTGAATAGCAAAGCCATGCCTTCCCCCACTCCGTCGCAAGCCCCAAACGCGTGCGTAGGCTTAGAAACGTTCGACATATTCAACTGACGGGAAGTCGCCTAAAAAACGCCTCGGTCCGTGTAAATAACCTGGAGAGGAGAGAAATAACATTCGTGCCGAGCACAACAACAACAGTAGAACTACTCTTTCTCTACAAGATCGCCTAATATTCTGTAGGTCCGTTTTCCATCTCAATACACTCCCGTGTCAAAACGTGACACAGTCTGCTCGTGCAATGGCATGTCACGAACGTCGGGCTTCTTCACATTCTCGAATATGCCTCCCTGCACGAACAGAACCTGACAGATTGCCAACTGCCCCCCGGCAGAGCACGCTCTCTCTGACGACGGCCATCTTTCTTTGCGGTCATTCAAGAACATGCCTCGCAGCCATCGCAGTCCCCACAGCCTCGACAAATCTGTCCTAGGCCGAAGTCTGTCGAGTAAGAACGAGCGGGGCGGATGACCATGTAGATAGAGGGGGTCGGGGGTCGAGACAGTGACCTGACGGGGAGGAGAGAGGGGGTACAATTGTGCAGCTTTCGTTCCACCACGCAAAAACGCACTGACCACGAAAGACGAAAAAAAAACTGCGCGAAGCGCCGGCGGTTTGCCGCAGAGACAACCGTCTGCCTTCCTCCCGCGGCATAACGAGGCATAGAGAACGACGGGAAGGCTTTGCAAAACTCAGGATTCGTTCGCATGATGATGAGCAGGTACAGAACTGCCATCCTTCATCACGTGCTTGTGGGATTACTGGTACAAAGTGCGGAAACCAACCGGGTGTACATGAAGAACCTCTCCACGTTCCCAACAGGTCGCGACTGTAATTTGGCAACAAACAGGTCTCACAGTCACAATCGAGGACGTCCACGCCGTCCAAGCAGTCAGAATCGCACACCACCCTCTTTGCGCCGCCGGGGTGAGCGGCCAGTGCCAGCATCTGCACCTCGGACAGATTCGAGCACGCGGCGCAGTCCGACGTGGTATCGGCGTCGGCGCCATCACCTATCGCACCAAGGTCACACGACCAACAGCGATGCGGGGAGTTTGCGGAAAGCATGCACGGGAAATTAAAACGAGGCGAAAAGGGGACGCATGAATCTGGATATCTTCTACACGCCGCCTAGTTCTTGCCCGCCAAGAAAGTTCAACCATACACCAATCGTGTGTTGCTTTGGAAGATTCCTACCTGGAGTGCTGTTGTGGTTGGTTTGAGTCTGCCAGGTTCGGTCATGCGCATGCACCGCTTTCCCGTTTCCAAAACACGGAACACTTTTATGCTTTCAAGCCAAAACCAGACCTGCCGTGTTAGCAGCTAGGCACGTAATTGTTTCGGGCTCCTTGTGGACAAGGTCCGCGTCCATCCGTGTCTCCTACGTCGATTTTTCCCTCTCGTCAACTTCACTCTCTTCATGGTGTGATTTAAGCCAGTCAAGCACTGTTTTGCGATTGAAGGAAGTTCCTGACCAAACACTCGCTAGGGCAAGCGAATGAGTGCTGACGAAACATCCAGACAATTTCTCTCAATATACCCTTTGCGATTCTTCACTTGGACCGACGCGTGCTCGAAAACATGTACTGCGTAGGGCACAAGAGCCACTTACCGTAGGCATCCATGTCAACCTCGACGTCGACACCAGCATCGGCCGCATGGGCCACAGGATCCACAGGGGCGGGCGTCGAGAGATCGGCAAAGGCAACCTCGGCAGGAGTTCCAGTCCCATACGCCGCCGAAACGTGGGGAGCGGGGGCATAGGTCACGCCCTCCTCCACGGCAACCGTCTCCTTGGCAGTGGGCGACACGGTACCAAGCGCCGCCGGCGCCGGAGTAGTCTCGATCGTCGGGGTGGATGCTACCGGTGTTCGTGTTGCCTCCGGAGATGATGCGGGGCTCTCGCCTAGAACAGGTGCAGGCGTTTCAGGGCTTCCGAAAGGGGCCACCACCACAGCCGGCGCCGCGGTGATCGGTGATTGAGGCGCCGAAGGTTGGGGATCATCAAAACCGATCGTCACCGGCGCCGGAACAATGTCGCCCTTCGGGGTGGATGTTGACGGTGTTAGCGTTGTCTCCGGAGATGATGCTGGGCCCTCGCCTAGAACAGGTGCAGGCGTTTCAGGGCTTCCGAAAGGGGCCACCACCCCAGCCGGCGCCGCGGTGATCGGTGATTGTGGCGCGGAAGGTTGGGGCCCATCAAAACCGATCGCCGTAGGCGCCGGAACAGCGTCGCCCGTCGGCGTGTTTCCTGACGGTGTTAGCGTTGTCTCCACGGGGACGGGAGAAAATGCTGGGCCCTTGCCTAGAGCAGGTGCAGGCGTTTCAGGGCTTCCGAAAGGGGCCACCACCACAGCCGGCGCCGCGGTGATCGGTGATTGAGGCGCCGAAGGTTGGGGATCATCGAAACCGATCGTCACCGGCGCCGGAGCAGTGTCGCCCGTCGGCGTGTTTCCTGACGGTGTTAGCGTTGTCTCCGGAGATGATGCTGGGCCCTCACCTAGAGCAGGTGCAGGCGTTTCAGGGCTTCCGAAAGGGGCCACCACCACAGCCGGCGCCGCGGTGATCGGTGATTGAGGCGCCGAAGGTTGGGGCCCATCAAAACCGATCGTCACCGGCGCCGGAACAGCGTCGCCCGTCGGCGTGTTTCCTGACGGTGTTAGCGTTGTCTCCGGAGATGATGCGGGGCTCTCACCTAGAGCAGGTGCAGGCGTTTCAGGGCTTCCGAAAGGGGCCACCACCACAGCCGGCGCCGCGGTGATCGGTGATTGAGGCGCCGAAGGTTGGGGATCATCAAAACCGATCGCCGTAGGCGCTGGAACAGTGTCACCCGTCGGCGTGTTTCCTGACGGTGTTAGCGTTGTCTCCACGGGGACGGGAGAAAATGCTGGGCCCTCGCCTAGAGCAGGTGCAGGCGTTTCAGGGCTTCCGAAAGGGGCCACCACCCCAGCCGGCGCCGCGGTGATCGGTGATTGAGGCGCCGAAGGTTGGGGATCATCAAAACCGATCGTCACCGGCACCGGAACAATGTCGCCCGTCGGGGTGGATGTTGACGGTCCTAGCGTTGTCTCCGGAGATGATGCGGGGCTCTCACCTAGAACAGGTGCAGGCGTTTCAGGGCTTCCGAAAGGGGCCACCACCCCAGCCGGCGCCGCGGTGATCGGTGATTGAGGCGCCGAAGGTTGGGGATCATCAAAACCGATCGTCACCGGCGCCGGAACAGTGTCGCCCTTCGGGGTGGATGTTGACGGTCCTAGCGTTGTCTCCGGAGATGATGCTGGGCTCTCACCTGGAACAGGTGCAGGCGTTTCAGGGCTTCCGAAAGGGGCCACCACCACAGCCGGCGCCGCGGTGATCGGTGATTGAGGCGCCGAAGGTTGGGGATCATCAAAACCGATCGTCACCGGCGCCGGAACAGTGTCGCCCGTCGGGGTGGATGTTGACGGTCCTAGCGTTGTCTCCGGAGATGATGCTGGGCCCTCGCCTAGAACAGGTGCAGGCGTTTCAGGGCTTCCGAAAGGGGCCACCACCCCTACTGGCGCCGCGGTGATCGGTGATTGAGGCGCGGAAGGTTGGGGCCCATCAAAACCGATCGCCGTAGGCGCTGGAACAGTGTCGCCCGTCGGCGTGTTTCCTGACGGTCCTAGCGTTGTCTCCACGGGGACGGGAGAAAATGCTGGGCCCTCGCCTAGAACGGGTGCAAGCGTTTCAGGGCTTCCGAAAGGGGCCACCATCCCAGCCGGCGCCGCGGTGATAAGGGATGATGGCACCGAAGGTTGGGAACCATCGAAACCGATCGCCACTGGCCCCGAAGTAGTCTCGATCGTCGGGGTAGATGTTACCGGTGATGGCGTTGTCTCCAAGGGGACCGGAGATGATGCGGGGCTCTCACCCAGAGCAGGTGCAGGTGTGTCTGGGCTTCCGAAAGGGGCCACCACCCCTACTGGCGCCGTATTGATGGGTGATGGTAGCGCCGAAGGTTGGGAACCGTCGAAACCGATCGCCGCCGGCGCCGGAGTAGTGTCACCCGTAGGGGTAGATGCCACCGGTCCTGGCGTTGTCTCCACGGAGACCGGAGATGATGCGGGGCTCTCACCTAGGGCAGGTGCAGGCGTTTCTGGGCTTCCGAAAGGGGCCACCACCCCAGCCGGCCCCGTGGTGATGGGTGATGGTAGCGCCGCCGGCGTCGGAGTAGTGTCACCCGTAGGGGTAGATGCTACCGGTCCTGGCGTTGGCTCCTCGGGGACCGGAGATAATGCGGGGCTCTCGCCTAGAGCAGGTACAGGCGTTCCTGGGCTTCCGAAAGGGGACACCACCCCACCCGGCGCCGCGGTGATGAGGGGTGGTGGCGCCGAAGGTTGGGGATCATCGAAACCAAGCGCCGCTGGCGCAGGAACAATGTCGCCCGTCGGGGGATACGCTGACGATGTTGGTGTTGCCTCCGGAGATGATGCTGGGCTCTCGCCTAGAGCAGATGCAGGCGTTTCGGGCGCGAGAAGCGTGTCGGGAGCGGTCGGCACTGTCTTGGTCATGTTGGGCGACGGTGTCGGTGCGCCCGTGGGCGTGTTCGCGTTTGCCAACTGAAGCCTACGCCCGTAGGCAGCAGCGGCGGTCCTGAAGACGGGGGATGTCGGAGTATGGGGGAAACGGCAAGGGCATCATGACACTCGGCCGACGGCGATGACCAGCAATGCATCAGGTTAAGGGGGATACACCGTCCCTGGAGGAACCGGCCACTACGTGGTGGTGACGCCCGACGTAACGCGCTCGGTACTCTGGGCACAGGCAAACACCCACCGACGGTGTCGCTTGCCCCCCCCCACACGACGTGCAGCACCATCGCTGACAGTGTCGTCCGAGAACGTATGTGTGCCGGTGGACCCGAGAAGAATACAACCCAACGAGTAAGACAACGTCCGTGTTTCCCACCAAAAGACGGGAAAGTGAGGACCCGATGAGGGGGGGTGACAACTGTGTCCAGCAAAAGTATCCAGCGAATGGGTCCAGGTCGGCAATGACCCTGCGGCAGACCCTTACCGGCTATCGCTGGTGCACTCCGGCACGGCCCACAGGCCTTGGAACGGGCCACCGGAAGCTAGAATCGCGGTTCCGACGGTGACGTCGGTGGTGTCCAGGACGACTGACACACCGAGGAGATCTTGTGCGATAAACGTCACCTGTTAGGAGCCGACGGGCAGATATAGCTAGGGTGTCGGCGTTCACGTAGACGTGTTATCTTGTGCGGTGTACCAATATTGGGAACAGCGGAGCACTCGCAACGGCCTTCAGAGGGGTCGACCTCTCTTGTCCCGCGAAAACAAGGGCTATGGGTGAAATCTGGACCTGTAGTGAGTTGGTTGAAGCCTGCTTGTCCAATGATTTACCATGACAAACTCTTGGCCAACAAAATCATGGTCCAATCAGCAGTACTGACGAAGATTGTTGGAGACAGGACATGAATTTCCCCACGACATACATAACATGCCTCACACCGGTCTACTTAGAATCTCGGCTTTTATTCGCGTGCCGGTCCCGTGAAAGAAAACAAACTCCTTTTTGCCTCGACACCAGGTTGACGTGAGCAGGCATTCTACAAAAGAAACCGTCGAAATCATGAGCAGTATTGACCTTGTTGTTGTCGAAGTCACCGGCGACACTCGGGTGAAAGTGTACGGACGCGACAGGCACGTTAAACTCCAAGGTCATGGACTCCCCAGGGATGGCGTAGCGCCCTAAGAGCACAGACGGACGCAGGATGAGGGCGTTGAGCTTCACTCTCCGCCCCCTAAATGGTGCACATGTCACCCCATCTCTTCGTCGACGCCAATGGGAATACCCTTCCTCTGTTAGCGAGTAAGGGTCCCTGAAGTGGCATAAACCTAGACCAGCGGAGGTTATTTGCTCTTGTTGCAATGTGGCGAGGAATTGCCAAGCGTGGCCGACGTTGGTCGGCCTTGCTAGTTTTAAGAAAGGTCAAATATGAGAGTGAGCCTCGGGGGCACACTTTCGTCCTCGGGCTGGTCACAGCAGGCGGATAATCTTTCTTTGTAAACATCTTCAGACCCCGAGAACATCGTTTGTAGGGGTTCGGATCTTTATTGGTTGTACATGCGTCACTACCACTAGGAAGATACCTATATCCTAGTTTCATGTGTTGCCTTAGATCTAGTCATGTTCGTCCATTTCTGGAAAAGATAGATGGCTGCGAGGTCGAACGGAGAATGAATATAGAGATACAATCTTTGCCGAGTTCCATTGAGCCCGGATTTTCCAACCCGTGGTATACTGCATTCTCCAAAACCACACAGCTTGCTATAAATCATTGAGGTGCTCTACACAATGTAAACATTGGGAGAGATATGAAGGATACAGTCTATCCTATGTATTTTGACCCACGACGGATGTGATACTGCCAGGTCAACTTGTATATGCCTGTGCTTTGTTCTCCCAACCGAGTATGTATATACTAGTATGCTCTTGGTTGCTGTTGCCGGTACAATCCTTTTTGCTTCGACACATCGAGGCCAACTCACGGGTATTGCTGGAGTTGCCACCTGACGGGTCGAAACCCTCCTGGTTCCGTCGTTGTCGCGTCGTCTTGTCCGTCACGGGCCGTGTGGTCTATGCGTATTTGTGTCAAACGGGGATGATGAGGCAGTTACAAGGCGAAGTTTACTTGGAACCTGTGTGTGCGTCGATGCATTCATATTTTTTTCGCCTCTAGTTGCTACTTAGCATTACACCGTTCACGTATATATGTATCTGCTGTGCTGGCCGGGTTGGTTAACACACATGTCTCAGGAAATAAGGTTTCCTCTGGGTAGAAGTGGTACTGTAACCTAACAAATCCTCAACTACGGTAGGCGAGCAAGTAAATATGTTCATTCGAAGTACATGCATATTCACCTGTGTTATGGTGAACGTAAAGCTCGTTGTTTTCAGCTCCTCATCCACCCCTGGTGCAGGCGAGTGGCATGATGACAAAATGTCCACGTCCTTGATGTGAAGGTGCGACGCTCGAAGACTAGGAGAGGCTTGGACGGTACTGGGCTGAGTTGCTACGGCCAGTAGAGCCATTGCCCCTATGCGGGTTCTCATTTTCATGCGCGGTTTCGTTTGAGGCAGATGCATCCCAGACTATCTTACAGACTCATGAAGCGCATATGAGTTGTCTATGTTCCGAAGGGGTGGATTTTTTTCATGGAGCGTCGCTGTGTTCGTAACGAGTACGAGACGCAGGCCAGGTGGCCGATGGAACCGGGAGAGCTTGTTCAGCACACGATGAAGCCACACTCACAGCAACTCCCAAAGAATGTCAGGTACGGTCACTGTTCGCCGGTCCCGTCGTGATGGGACCGCGACCTCGACTTGCGACTGGCTATGTATGTGTGTGTGTGAAACGCCTGCCGCGGTTGGTACGCTGATGGCCTTCTTCGTCTGATACGATGCAACAAGTGTATCCAAAGTAGCGCACACGCCCTAAATCTTTATGTCTTCTATGGAAATGTTCAGGCAGTGTCCTCGCGTTCACGGCAATCAGTGTTCAGTGTCGCTGCTGCGCTGCTGCGCATGAGTTGTACTGCAGGTAGCGGCATGATAGGTGTCGGTTCGTTTTTGAAAAATGCGGGGGAAATATGCACTGTACAGCTTCTTTCGTACTTCGTATTTCGTATTTCGTCTCGTCTTCTCGTCGTCTCGTCGTTCTGTGATCGACCTCACTCATTGCGATCTCTCTCTCTGTGACACGATAGAGGGTTTGTCTAGGTATCCCTGCTATCCGTCTGGACTAAATAAGTGCCGTCCCTTTGTCAATACCCTGCTCGTTGCGATTGTCACACAGAGACCAGAGTGGTATCTGCTGCTGTTGGCGTCTGCTGGTACGCGCCAGTTGCAGCGCCCAGGCTCCCGCCTGATGTGTGTCGGTCTCTGAAGTGGTTGGTTCGAATGCGGTGCGCGCAGAAGAAAAAGCGGCATAATTGCCAAAATTACTCGAAAATAGAAGATAGAGAACACACCAAGTAGGCGCCAAGTTAAATGGAGACAGCTGATTGGCGGACGCCAAGTAAAATCTGTTCCGGTGGCTTTTTTGGCTGCCCAGACATCGGCCTGCAGCAAAAAAAGCCACCGGGACAGATTTTACTGGCGTAGATGTCTGTGTGTATGGCAATGTCAATCCACACTGAGCGTCGATGACGAGCACGCAGCAGCACCCGCCAGCAGAGCTAATACAACAGCGAGGAGAGAGAGGGAGATCGCACAAACACGCACGCACGCACGTACACGCGAATTATTATTTAGTCTATGTCGAGCTACTGCAGCACAGCAGTAGTACCCACACTCAGGGATCCATGCATGCATGCTTTTTTTATATGTATCATCTGCACGCCAGTCCTCTCACCAGAACACTTCAAGTAACGTGATGATGATGCTCTCTGGCACCTCCGGGTTGTATTTTTTCGCTCTCTTGACTCCATCTATCGGGTAGGTTATTTTTGGAGTGAACACCCCACCCAAAGCAATCGCCATCAATCATCCATCCTGACGCGTCGGTATGTTGACAACCCGCATGGCAGAATATATATATGCAGGGTGATTTGTTTGCTGCCCCGGTGACGGCACCTCTCTCTGCTCTGGTGTCTCTTTTCCTTCAGTTCATTGATTCATTGAGTAAGGAGCAACATTTTGAAAGCGTGTGGCCCGCAGATGAATGAATGGGTTTCGCAGTGTATTGGCGGGCTTCGCCCGCGAGAAATTAAACCCCTAAAACTCTGTCCCGGTACACTCAAAATTTGCCCAGATATTGTGTACGTCTGTCAGCAATGCCCTCTTTTGTTTGCGTCTCACGAATACAATTCATGACGTACTGTTTTGGAGACAGAACGAGATAATTCTTGTTGTATGATGTGTGCGGGATGACACTGCTTGGATTCTGTACGAGATAAACGCTTTTTTAGGGTGGTTGCGAAGGTGTACCGATTCTGGTAAAAGTCAATCGACGGATACCCTGCGAATCGGGTCCTCCTTAACACTCTCCACCCACAGAATTTACCCTCAACTGGGAACCTCTTGTGGCCAGGACGGGTAATTCGATGGAAGTGTCACAAAAGGTTCTTTAGAGGATCGATTCCAAGAGAGAGGTGTTCTCAGGACTGACACACATTGTGTCCACGGGAAAATGTCCAAGCCAGGAGAAAAATTGTGCACCCAAGGAGATTCGAACCAGTATCCTGCTGACGCCATGTGCGAAGCTGTACCGATTCTGGTAAAAGTCAATCGACGGATACCCTGCGAATAGGGTCCGTCCTCCTTAACATGGTTCCGACGAGAGAGATTTTGCGAAGGTGTTGCAGGTTCACGCTGCAATACGTACAACGCCATTGGAACTTGTTGTGCATTTTTTGCGATTGTTCGATGTATGCAGTATTAGAGTATATCTGTTTTGCACATATAATATATTTATTTACCGAATACAGCTTACTGTGGAAAAGAAGGTTTCGTCCTCGACAGACGTTGGGGAGATTGTACCTTTATCAAGGTGGTCTCCACATTACCCCCCCCTTTTTCGAGACTTCTTCTTGTTTGCTAGGCAAGAGAAGTCTTCTTGGGGTAACCGGAACCCGACCGGCTGGCGGCGAGTAGAACCACCTTTTTTTCCCAACAATCTTCTGTGCGTGTGTGTGTGCGGGTGCACCACTTCCGCCACGCATTGTCAGAAGTTTCGAGTTCGAGTACTGTGTGTGTGTGTGTGTTACGAACGTGTGTAGTGTGGTGGCTGTGATACGGGGGGTCCCCCACCGTAGTATTAGCCTGACCGAACGCCGCTTAACTTCACCACAGATCTCTTCGTCGACGCCATTGTGGGAAAGAGGGTTTCGTCCTCGACAGACGTTGGGGAGATTGTACCTTTCTTTATCAAGCAAGGTGGTCTCCACATTACTTCACGAAACAAAAATGTGATGCTATATAATAACCAGGCGATAGCCGCGGGGGCCAACTGCTGTTCTCGTGCCGCCGTGAGGGCATCCCACCCGCAAACAAACACCGCTCGCTAGAGTGTGCAGAAATACTTGTTGAAAACTTGGAACACCTCAGGGTGTCCGCTTTCTTCGTGCTCTTTTGTGCCCCCCCTCCGTGTCTATGAGTTCGCTCCGGGGTACGTACTCCTTTCTCAACGTACCTATCCTTCTTGTTTTTTCACAATGAAAACCTTACACCAACAGAAATTGAGGATGCCTTGACATGGCAACGCACAGAGGAACGACAGTAAAAAAAAAATACAAAATACATACAACCGAACACGCAGACAAACAAACCCAACCGTCACCGACCACCGAGACTGAGGATATAAAGTAGTTTTATTGGTTGAAAAACGAACCTGCAGTAGGCCTGTGCGTGCCCGTCCGTTTTGGAGCTCTGAGGGGGCGACGGTGATTCACACAGGGGGGGGGTGATCTTCGGCTCGAAAAAAATGAAAGCTCGCGGTCGAGCATTTCTTTCAACGAGGGAACACTTCGTGTCGCTGACAACGCCGCCAAAACAAGAGTTCGTAAAAATTTAATTATTGAACGCGACCCGAGGGTGTTCTCAGAGTAGAGTTCGGTGTACACCACATTATTGTGGAGCTCATCGTTAACGTCAAACCGAGAGACAGAGGAGACGACCACCACCCCTTCGTTTCTCCGCTCGCAAGCCAAAAATATTGCCGATCTACTGACAACCAGCATCTGAGCGTTCGACGGACTTCAGAAGTAAACACCAACACAAACGAATGAAGAAATCAATTCGCAACCAACCACCGGACCCCCCTTGCTGAGCACACGACTATACACACGCACTACAACATATCTACATGCTACACCGACACAATATCGGCTTCTTCTTGCCCTTCATGATACTCCAGTTGTGTACCTCAGTAATCAACAGAGATATCGACGAGTTCACGATACGTTCGGATCACCACAGCAACAACATAAACTTCTAAAAAAAAACACACCAACAGCCACGTCAGCAACGGCAACGCTCTTCTCTTATCACTACTGTGCACTCACGCTGCGGCCATTATGACTACCAAGGATGCACCATCCGCTATCATTAATAATAGGCGTTCTTACACGGAGGAGGCGGCGCTAGACTCTTGCTCGCCGGCAACCCCACAGACGTACACGCTCGACATGCCGACGCCGTGGGAGCAGGTCATCATCACGTTGTCGACCGAGACCAGCTGGGCATCGCCAACCATGCCAGCGGTCGGGCACAGCGACCCATGGCCGGCGGCGACGCGCACGAGCTCCTCGCAGCTCTCGGCCTCCGCTCCCGGAGTGCACCTCGCCCGCGTCCCCGCGGTGAGGCATCCGTGAAAGACAGGGGCTGCGGCTGCCGTCGCCGAAGACGCCTCCCTATCGCCCGTAGCGCCCTGGATCAGCACCGACAGCCTTGCGATTCGCAGCCACGAGTAGGCGTCCTGCTCGGCCTGCATCGCGGCCATCACCCCGATCGCGCGGATGTCGCACAGATCGCCCGGGCGCACGCCACACTCCACCCCCGCGCTGCCGCCGTCCCCTCTCCGGCGGTCGTCCTGCTCCCCTCTGCCGCTGCGCGCCAAGCTGATCGATTCGTCGGCCTTGACCTCCGTCACGGACAGGCACCCGTGGGCGGGCAGGTTCCGCGCGACCCCCGCCGGCGTACCCCCCGCTTGTCCGAGAGCCGCCGCCCCCTCGCGGGCACCCGCCCGCTGGAGAACGCCGACGCCCAGCGCGCTCTGTATGGCGAGCTTCTCGAAGCGGGTGGAGGCGGAGACGACCTGCTTGCACCACTCGGCGGCGCTGATGACCCCGCAAGGCCAGCGGGGACGCTGCCAGAGAGAGTCGCCGGCGCCCGCCCCGCAGCCGCCCGCGAATCCGCCGTCCAGCGTCGGGACCCCCGTTGCCGCCTCCGTCTGCTTCGACTCCACGGGCACCACCTCGGCGATATCGCCGCCCCACACGCTCGCCACACGGAACTGCGAGCCCCGGAGCGCAATGTCGTTCCCGGCGTGGACGAGATGGAGCGACGCCTCGCTGTCCGGGAGGCAGGTCAGTATCGCCCCCACCGCCTCCGCGGCCACCGTCACGCGCTTTCTCGAGTCGGGGTCCCGGACGGAGGCGTACGCGGGGTAGCCCGCCGCCGCCACGGTGGACACGAGAGGGCATCGGCTACTGCTACTGCTGCTGCCGGCTCCGCTCTCTCTTCTTCCCGCGTCGCCGAGGATCCCGTTGAGGCGGTGCAGGGTCGACGTGCACGGGTCGCTCGGCTCTGATTCTACGGCACCCCCCTCGCCGCCGCTGAAGGCCAGGCACATCGTCCTGTGGTAACCACGCGGACCACTACTACCGCCGGCTTCGACGGCTTGGCTGACTTTTTCGCCGCCGCCGTAGCGGCTTGCGCTCCTCTCGAGGGACTCGCCGACGTAGGCACCGATCTCGTCTTCCTGGAGGAGCCGGTCCCCGTGCAGACCGAGCTCGCGCGCCGGGTTCAACACGAAGGGGCGGGCGTCCAGGCCCGGGTTGTGGAAGAGGGCGAGCGTGGCGGTGACGGCGGCGGCCGGCTCCTCGTTTCGTGCGCCCTGATTTTGGTTTTTTTGCGACACGGTTGTTGCCCGGGCTGGGGATGCTAGTGAGGCGAGAAGGGGGGGGGGGGGGGAGGAGTGGTGGAACGTGAGTGGCGGTGATAATTTTTTTTTTGACTTGCTGGGAGGGGCACACCGCAAATGCTGTGCTTCACGCAGAGCTGTCACCTTCGAGATCTCCGAGCGTACTACTTTGTTTGGACACGTCTTCAATCATGTCTTGGATTGGGTGTACACCACGCCTATCTAGTGCATCATCGGACACTCTCACACGGCACATCAGCAACAACGTGACCTGCTGCTGTTGTGGGCTCCAGTTGCTTGACAAGAGCCGTGAAGACCTTCAAACTTTCTTTCCGGCTTGGCCATCTGTATATCTCGTAGTACATGTGTGTGCTGACACGGGCCTTTCGAGAGGTAAATATCGACCCATAACTTTTCTGTTGAGAGAACCGCGGACTGCCAAGCCAAAGAGGATCTAAAGCTTCTCCTACGGCAACGTCTAGAGCGTAGATTCTCGGATTGTGGCTCAGGTCTATCTTTGCGGATACTGCAAGAGTTTTTCCGTCTGTTCCGATGAGTATGTCGACCGGTTGACGGGAAAACAGTGTCACTGCTCACACTTCTTTTTGCTGTCATTGGAAATACGACAAACATAAAAAAGAAAGAGTCTGCCTGAGAGACATGTCTAGCGTACTCATTATGGAACGCGGGCATAAACAGAGGGAGGAGCGTGTTTGAGATGAACCAGAGAAAATACTTCTTGTGTGTTTTAACAGAACCAAGACGTCCGTACGAAGAACACTTATTCTCCCTTGCAACACCAAAAATTCTGAAATCTGCTTTGCTACTTCAAAGGGCAGTCTCTTTCGTTCAAACACACCAACCGTCTTCCGATATTCTCCATCCAATGCTGCACAAAATCAGAGCGTTTTGAATGTGCGTTCAGCGTATTGTAGTCCTCGGAACTAGCTCATTTTTTCTCCTCGTGCCAACAACGATGTATTTCCTGCTTCTTGCATTTCCCCGGTTCCCAAACACACCGAAGAGCTCACTGCGGAGGGGGGCTCTTGCAATGAGTACGCCCCGTGCATGCCAGATTGGTGAACGTCTCTCCCAAGGCATACACCTAACAGCACACATACACATGCTACATACATTGGGACTTTGCGGGGAACCTACAGCAGCTAGGGATCCACAACAACGACCGACGTCTCTCTCGACTGATTTACAATGTGTGAGGTATCGGCGGCAGAGCTACTGGTGACCTTAGATACACCGAAGAAAAATGTTAGGGTGGCGGGGGGGGGGAGAACGTGACAAACAGAGGTAGAAAAGCTGCCACGAGCAGTGGCGAACGAAGGGGCCTGGTTTGATGTGTACAAATCAACTAAATACTTAATACTGACTCTGGGGGTGTTTGTCAATGAACCATGGGTTGCATCTATTTCGCTCGTCTCGAGCGAACAACCTGCAATCTCTTGTGTGTTTTTAATACTGCTGTATGTACACTGCTGTAGCATAGACTAGATGTATAAATGCCAGACTAAAAGGAATGTGCCACGAGACTTGTTGTTGCCGACATCGTTCTCTTCTCAAAGCATTTCTTGTGGTTTGCTGCCATCTCAAGACTGATAATCCACATCATACGAAACCTCACCGATTACGTCGTCGACGAAAGGAAGACTGTCATGGAGCCTGGCCAGGGCGATCTCAATCTCTCCGGCATCATCCTGCAGAACATGGCGCATCGGATCCTGGAGTGAAGCCTCGTCCTCCCTCGAAAAGTACACAATGGCCATTGCGCACCGCTGCTGCTGCTGCTGTTCCATGGAGTCTCCTACCTCGGCAATCACAATCCTCGCAAGGTCTCTGAACGTAGCGTCGACGCTTGAGCTCGACGATGTGAACGTAGCGAAGGGGGGAGCCGGCTTTCCGATCTTTTCGAGCCCAACAGGTCTGTACTGCGGATCAGATGCGGAGATCATGCACGGCGGTTGTGGTACGACGAAGGCATGTGCGCCCAGGAGCATAGACAGCGTGCACCTTACGAGCATGACCCTGGTTGCGCTCATGGTGACAACCCAAGTGAAGGGCTCGTAAGTTCAAACTGCCACGGCGGGCGCTGCTCCACCAAGCCCACCATATGGCATGGCACGCGCGGGCCCGCCTGGATGTTCGGCGGAGGCACGTGATCTTCACGACGCGGCCCAACCTCGGCCAATCACATGCTCGCACAATGCGGCGCATATTTGCTTCTTGCTCACGGTACTCGGCTGGGCACACGCGCTTGCACTGAAATCTGTTTCGAGCCACACCCCAGTTCATTCCCCCGCTCAAGGCCCAGCTCACTCTACAGCCCCCGCCCCAGACACAGTCCTTCGTAAACCCCTGGATATTTTCACAGACAGTTCCGCGCCGTTTTCCATCCACCTCAACGACAACAACAATGATGCTGTCTTCGCTCCTGAGCTGCGGCGTCTCCGTTTCCCTTCTTGCCGCATGCAATGGCTTCGTGACGACAGCAGGCGTGCTCCCCACTAGGACCAGGGCGCAGGCATCACAGGTGTGTTCATGAGCACGCTGAATCTGGCGCTTCGGGTGTGGTCTATAGGCAACTAAACGTCTTGGTGCCAAGCTTGCCGTGGGGGGTCTTGCATGACGGAAGGAGTAGTCAATCCGCAGATATAGGCATACAAAAGCCTTCTTCGTAGGCACGTGCCCTAAAGATGGTAGTGTCGCGTTATGTTGCAATCCCAATGACTGGGACTAACATGACTCCAGCTCCTCCTCTGACGGCTTGTGAGGGTGGGTTTGCCCTGTTCATGTTTCTCACTGGGTACGCACGTACGCCGCCAACACATCGAAAAACCGAAGAAGTTGGGGCCCGGAAAAAACGCGACGTCCCCTCTCCGTCCTACTCTCTATTTGTGGACAGACAGTGTAACTTTCGTCTTATTTTTTGGGCGGAGAAAAACCTGTTGTTTTCTCTCGCTCCTATCATGCATGCGTATGCATATGCATACACGAAATCCTACCAGCTGATTTATACCGACTGCTACTCTGCTGTGCATGTGGCTTCCTGGGAGTGCGCACGTCATCAGTGTATATACCCCCACAAAACCGCGCCCGCCCGTGTAAAAAAAAAAAAAAGACTACTGCACAACGCCGAAGAGATGTGTGTCTGTTTGTTTACTTCAATTGTTTCGTACAAGTATTTTGCAGTCTATGTCAAGCGTGACCCGTGCTTTCGTCGGTTGGTTCCACTTGAGGGACCTTCCCGGTTGGATAGTGACTCACAGGCAGCAACCGCGGGTGACTGCAAAACACACAAAAGCTCTTGTTTTGTCGAGTTTTGAAGGTTTGTTCCAGAACGATGTCACGTGGCGCCTGCTTGCGGGTGCGCGGCGGCTCACGTGAAAACGTTCCGTCTCTTTTATATGGAACTCTTTCATGTAGAAAGTATAAAACGATCAACAACGAAGAACTACACGTTCAAGATATAACCGCAGCAGTCAGTCGAAGTGGATGGATTGAAGTGTTGACCGTGGGTGGGACAATAACCGGCTGGGCACTGGGCTTGTTTTGAGTTCTGTTTTATGCCGTACTGAATTTTTTACGGTGATCCCAGCTGGTGCTGGGCACAAAATGGGAAAACGTCGTTTGCGAACCTCTCCCCGCCCGAACACGAAGCAGCGCACCACTTCGCGAACACGGTCAACAACCAGTCCAAACCTCAGCTAGCGCGAATTCCTCGTGGTATACCGCAACCCCCGTTTTGCAGCCTTGTGATCGCACCCCCCCCCCCCCCCCAATCACAAAGTATCACGGCTGTTCACGCCGAGACCAATTAGGACACCCGGGTCGTTTTCGTGCCGGTCTCGTCACGTTTAACGTCGGCCGGCGGCATTCTCTGTGTATCGCCTTATGCTGTACTTCCTCACTGTACATTCGAAGGATTTTCCAAGGCATATCCATTTGTGGTAGTGTTGTTGCAGCCTTCGACGATTTTTTTTTATCCCCTTCCCATCGTTATCAAACGAAGCAGAACCATCCCGCAAGAACAAGAAAATTACGTGCGAGTTTTGCTGCCTGGGCACAACAAGTGGCATGCGGTACTGCACACCATCAAGTCTTGTTGATGCCCGTGGACTGCGTACATGGTAGACTTGCTTCACGGTGCGGCTGGTGGCCTGGACATAGGTTGTCGTTGAAAGACTGGTGTAAAATCCCCTGCAGAGTTCCAAGCACTCTCAGCCGGACTGCAACCCACGACACTGCCGATCAATCGATGCTGCACTTTCGTGTCCGTGCGGTGGCCGCCGTCTCTAGATATAGTTTTTCTCGAGGCTCGGCCGCCTTTAAGGGGGTGCCTGTTCTTACGACGAGCTGCTGCTTGCCCCAGACGGACGGTTGCTTGCCGAATATGTTATGATAGGTTCTTGTTCCTGTGCACCAGGCCTATCACCTTCCTCACAAGCGTACACAACTAAAGGTTCTCGCGCGCCAGCTTCCTTGATGCGATGCGAGCCGTCGGCTATTTTCTTCAGCAGTGTGTCGTGTTTCCTTCACAAAAGCGGGTTTGGATTGTCGCCTGTTTTCTTCAGCATGTGCCACGCGAAGCTGATCGATCCCCCCCCGCCCCTCCCCCCCCTTGACCCCAGGGGCTGTCCATGGCAGCATCCGGCGAGCAGTGGGTCCCGATCCTCCCGATCGATGAGGCGCCGACCCCCGGCACCGCCAAGTCGGTCTATGTCGCCGACCTCGACCTTTGCGTCGCCGCGGACGAGAGGGGTCTACTGTACGTGCTGGGCAACAAGTGCCCGCCGGCCAACCAACCCTTGTCGTTCAGCCTCGTCTCGAACAACATCATCAAGGACCCTGTGCTGGGCACCAAGATCGACATCGAGACCGGCGATGTGATCGAGTGGTGCCCTAACCTTCTGGGCAAGCTACTCAGCCCGATCCTCGGCGCGCAGCCCGAGAACGCGGGCGTGCAGACGTTCGTGGTTCGCCAGAAGGGAGGCAACCTGGAGGCCAAGGTCAACGTCAACGCTAAGGCGGAGTTCGAGAAGTCGTACTGGACGGGCATCTTGGACGCTCAGGGGAAGGCAGACGGGGGCTACTACTAACTGCTTTCTTTTTTTTGTGATGGGTGGTCGTCGTCGTCCCAAGCGAAGCCTGACTGTGTTCGCGTTGTATGGATTGTTGTTGCTCCTGTTGATGTTGGGAGCGCGTGGTGGCTGGCGCCCGAGAGTTGTAGATATTATTTTGTTGGGCTTTGTAGTAGATTAAGAGTTTTCGAGGTCTTGCTGTGGCCGTAGATTGAGGCGGGGGGCCCCAAACAATCAGTGCGTTTGGTGCTTTTCTGAGTTCCAGAAGAACCAATATTTATTTACTCTAGAGCGAAGAAGGAACTGGGGTGGATTGGGGAGGATGCCGTTGAAGAAATGTTGCAACAATTGTAAGACGGAGCGTGTGGCGTATGTACGTACCCAGAGGCAGCACACCAGCAGCTTGTTCCTGTGAATGAGGGGAGTTGGTTGGAATCTTCCCACGGGTGTTGGGTGCCGTTGGTTACATCCGTTTCTTGTTGCAAACATTGCCTTGGAGGTCCTGTCATTTGGCGCTGCTCCTGCACCCGTTGTCATGGATGTTCGTCTAGAAATAAACTTGTTTACACAGCTCTTCCTGTCAGATGTGTCCGCCCATCATGACCTCTTTGGCCTTGCCAAATCTACAAGCGTTCTACAGACTGCAGCTGCGTTCGACATGTACTGAGTCTTGTCCTTTAGGACGGCATCGATTCACCTTCTGCGCGGCTCGAAAGTCGGAGCTTTCGCAACATAGATGTAGCTTCTTGTCACACAAACACCGCCGCTGAGACCGTGAGAGCTTTTGCGATGCCGAGCATGGCATGGTTGTGAGTTGCGCTTTTCTTCGTTGCGCGGACGTTTTGTGCTAGAGTTTTCTCCATCGCCGATAAAAAGCGGAAGGACCGCACCGAGAACGGCGTCCGAGGAGAACATGAAAGAAACACCGCGACTTGGTTGCCCGCGATTCACGGCAGACCGCCGGTCGGTTTGTTTTGACGTATGCTATGCACAGTCGAAATTTTAATCGAGAAAACAAGATTTGCCCCGAATGGCCAAAACAGGCCGCCCAAAGATCGTTGCGTTCGCCAAATCCATGACGACGAACATTCATCCGCGCTTCTTGCTCAAAATGAGAAAGGCTTGTTGGAGCACGCTAAAGGATTTTTTGTCCGATAAAGATGGGCCTAAAAGATGCGTAAACTGACAGAGAGGACATAATATGTTGTTGTTGATGTTGTCTTCACATAAATTCAACAGCGTTCGGTCCGATCTCTCTACCCAGTACCTTCATCTGTTGTCCGTCTATTTAGTCTATGTACTCCACGACGCGGTCGATCCCCGTGGCCACCGGCTAACCAAAAAAGGTACTAGGTCCGCAAATCAACGACAGATAGATACGCTCTAGAATCCTCCGCTCGCCTCTACACGCAATGCGAGGCAAACATAGACTGACGGGAAGTCAACTTCACGGGCCAAGACGGTAGTAGTAGGCATTCCCTGGTTCCATGTTTTTTTATACTCCAATAACAAAAGAGAGAGACGGCCATCATCATCTGGAAAGAAAAGAAAAAAAAAGAAGAAGAAAAAGAACAAGAGATAAAGAAACAGAGGAAGAAATGAGCCAGCAAGACGCACGCACGCCCAAACCACTATTATTATTGTACAGCAGCAGCAGTGGCGACAAACAAAAGACACTACACTAAACTAAAAAACTAAACAAACAAAGAGGGCCACCCGAGACAACAAAGGCACGTCATCGCTTTTGGGGGGTTGGTGCAATGGTGCAGTGATGAGGGGGGTGGGGGGTGGGGGGGTGTACTCATATAGTCGTGCATGCCGTAGTCGTTAGACCATTGACCTCGCATCCCTACAAAGCCGGGACGGAGCACGCCGGGTTCTCACCGGACCAGGCTCTCACATCACCAAGCGCGAAGCGCCGTGAGGTATTCGGCGAGTCGCATGAAGGGTGCGCTGCATCCTGCTAAGCGTGTTCGGCATCTTGTACTTACTACTTCCTTGCGTACGGATGACAGCTGCGTATGACTCAATTGATTTTCTGGTGCTTTCACTCCCAATAAGCGCTGTGTAACTGCCTCGAGGGTGCTTGATCAATTTAACACAACGTGCGATTATCCCCTTTGCGCGGAGTAAGGGTTCTCGACCCCGCACAACATATATATTCTACTCGACCCCCATTCATGGTTATCGCAAAAAACAAAACAAGGGCAAAAAAAAAAGCGGTTACCTGGTTGAGAGCTCACGAAGTGATCGGCTTATTTTACAACTTCGCTGCCAAGCGACGAAAACCCAACCCCGATGGCAAACACCGGGGGGACGGCTTGTTTTACAACGTCGTTGCCAATCCACGAAAACCCAACCCCAATGGCAAACATCGCCTCCGGGGGGGCAGTGATGGGGGGGATGGGGGTTAGTCAGTCAAGGGGTTCCAGCACATGTCGCGCCACTCGGTCCGCCTCTTCTCATTTGCTTTCTTCCCTCCTCGCCGTCTCGTCCGTCTGCTGCCCCCCTCCCGCCCCATTGGTTGTGGCAATGTCCGTGCTGTTACCGGGCTTGTTGTTTCGCTTGAGCGCTCGTTGCCGGCTGGCCTCCTCTTCGTCCTCGTGTCAGGAGGTCATAAACCTCTGACCTACCTGCAGTAGTGCCCCCGTAGCCACGGTACCCCCCGTCCAAGTTGTTTGCGGGACTCCGAAGACACATGGCTCGGCGTCCGTAGATAGATCCGCATACTTTGCCTCGAACATCTTGAGCTCTTCTTCCTTCCGGCACATCTGCCAGTTTGGCTCCGGTTTCCCCCTGCCTGGACTCTCCCCCTCCACCAGCTCGCCAAGCATCAACCCTTGGTTTCGGGAGTCGCCCGTCTGGTTGCCTTGCCAATGCTCCCGCGAGCAGCAGGCGCCGTTGCCGAACGGGGGCCTCCACCCTCTGGCACCCTACCCTCTTCAGGGTCCGGGCGTCGGAAAGCTGCCGGTAGGTGCCCTTCATGAAAAAACCGATAACTCGCGGGAGCAGCCGGTGATGTATCGATCGCAACGGGCTGTAGTAAACGTCCAACAACATTCCTCGTATGGTTCTGTCGACTGCGTGAGTGTGCAACGTGCAACGGCCAGCAGACCAGTGGGCAGAGATGGTGTCATCACGGGAACATGGAACACGCAGCATGCCAGGCCAAAGATTCGGCGGATCGGATTGGGACTGCTGTTATCGTCCCCGGCCTCCCAATAATGCAAGGTTTTCCTGTATTTTTTCTCGCTCGCTCCTGCTCTGTGCAGGTTCATCTGGTTTGAGAAGTGAATGCTGCCACGGAAAGTTGACACCCCTTTGGTCCAGCTGGCAGGCGGCAGGAGCATCAATCACGGCTAAAGAGCTCCTAAGGCAGGGCCTTCCGCGACAGGTCAGTGCCAGCGTTACAGCCACCAAAGGCACCTGTCAAGCATGCAACACAACATGTATGTGGATTACCGTTCGGCAGAGCACACACGCTTACATAGCAGCACACCGTGTCAGACGCATGGCTGCGTTAGGGGGGCATTTGGACACACGCGTGTCGGGAGAGGCTGCTGTAGACACCCCTTCCGTGTGGAGGAAGCTCTACACAACTCCGTGGTATCTGGGAATGCGTCTATTGCTCTCTCCTAAATATGAGAGGAGACAAGATAATCGGGGGGAACGGAAGTTGGGTCGTTGAATTGATATCTTGTGAGAGACAGCTCCGTTCTCATGAACGCACGGCCTTACAGCAGTAGCAAGGGCAGCACATCGCAGCAAATGTGGTTGTGACATTTCTAAGCGCTCGCTGAACGCATTTCACTGCACTTCTGCTGATATTTCCAGCAGGTTTACCTATTAGCTGTGGATGTGGTCCAATCTGTACCCCATCGTAAAACCCAGTAATTCCGCAGCACGAAATCTGGAAATATCGCGTGCGGTATCGGTCAGCAGTAGTGCACAGCGTTGCAAGTGTTGTGACACAGCGAAGGCGTAGTAGGTCCTAAGTTGATACAAACGGATCTGAACAAGCGTGGGAATTGTGATTTGTGTCGCTGACTTCTGACTCATCGCAAAACACCAAACACCTGTAGGCAACATCTGTGTTCGTATCTAGTTTTCAGAAGTTTACAGATTTAGAAGGACCGTAAGAGTCGAAGAGACGGCACCCCCGTGTTAGCGTTTTCTTGTAGCGTATTTCTCCACAACTAGGAGGGTGCGAACACTAACCGATACCTCTCAGGAAAGCCCTCGACGAGATGTTTCCAAAACTACCCTTTTTGGCAGTGGTACCCTCCTGGTTGTGGAGAAATACGCTATACAAAAACGCTAACACGGGGGTGCCCATCTCTCCGACTCTTACGATAGTCCACCTTCGGCAGACTACGATAGGCTACCAAGTACCCAGTCTACTTTTGTAGTGGCACAAAGCGGCTATGTACGCCACCGGAAATTGGCGCGGTGCGACTGCGCGATATAGCAGACATGTCCGCACACACACCCTCTTGCCGCTGAAATTGTGCTTCTAAATGGTGAGGATTACTGGAGCCATTGTCGGCTGTACAGCAGTACGAGCAACGCCAACCCTGTCAGTTATTTGTAGCAGCGGTGCAACCACGTGGCGTAATGATCGTGAAGAGAGCGTGCAAGAAAAATCGCAGCACGCTGCCCCCCCCGCCGAAGTACAACTCCAATGCAGTACTCTACCCCGAAGTTACCCGAAGACCTGGTCCCGTTAGGTTGATTCCCGGGAAAGTATCCCACTTCTCGTCTGTTTTTCCACTGCTGTTGAAGCCGTTGCCCCACAACAAGGGGATACAAACGAAATCCGGCGACGCCACTGCTGGGGAGTCTGTGGAGTGTCGAGACTCGACCTCATGCCCTCTTTTTTTGCTCGCGAAAGACAGACTCGGCAAGATGGAGAAAACAAATAAGCTTCCGTTCCTCACTCCTGTAGAATACGGTAGGGACCAAACATAACCAGCTTCCACCGAAAAAATGGTGGACGTGTCCCGCCCTCCCCTCGAGTTCGAGTTCGTCGTCCAGAAGATTTTAGACGGGATCTGAAATACCTAAGGCCGCTGGCCGATTGATCGTGCAAGGCCCGAGGGTTGCATCCTCGACGTCCTCGCCGGGGAGACCGAAGAACTTGGCCGAGATGTTTAGTATCGTGAGGGACCACACAGACAAGCGGTAGAGCGAACTTGCCAACCGATCTGCTACCGTTGCTGTCGCTGGGGCGACCGGAGAACTTGGACGAGGTGTTGGCATCGTCCCTAATATTGTGGACACAGACAGCGGTAAAGCGTAGCTTGCCACCCGATGTAACTTTGCACATGGTAACTGGCGAACACCTTGATACTCCGAAGGAGCAGTGTAGTGTATGTGTATGCATAAATACGAACAATGCGGTAAATCCTAATCCTTCCTTGGTAGCAGCACTTGTAGTACCCTTGAGGTGGAAGCCTGCTTCTTGTGACCCTGTGTATGGGCTGTGGGCAAGTTTTCTTTCGCACACAAGACCGACCCTCTTGAACTCTGTGAGGCACAAGTAGCAGCGTACCTGCTGTACCGGTACGGAGTTGTGGATATTGTTTCGTCTGCAGGATAGTAGGCTTTCGTGATGAAATAAGGGCGCTTGTTACAATCGGCGGCACACAGACTAAGTAACCGTTGAGGGCACCGGAAACTAGGAGTCTTTTTGGACGGCAGCGACGCAGCACAGTACCAGAAGCTGTGGCTGTTTGTCGGACAATTGTGGTGTGTGGCGGTCTTTAACTGCTGAGTCGTGTCAGAGGAAATGCGCAGCACTGCTGTGTCCATTCATGGCAAAAAATATCCAGAAATCAAACGAACCTCCAAAAGCTCAGCTGTTTTCCGCAGCGGCTTCAATAGCTAGGTCGGTCGTCTGCGCCCGTTTGGCGAAATTCAGCGAGACTGCTGTTGTACCATGATTTCCTGGGCCTCGGCCACCAACTGCCCGAAAAGCATCAAAGGCGTTTTAGCGGGGTACCCCCCCCCCCAAAAAAAAAAAAAATCAAGTTAATCGCAGCTGTCATCCGTACGCAAAGAAGTAAGCACAAGATGCCGAACACCCTTAGCAGGATGCAGCGCACCCTTCATGCGACTCGCCGAATACTTCACGGTGCTTCGCGCTTGGCGATGTGAGAGCCTGGTCCTGTGAGAACCTGGCGTGCTCCGTCCCGGCTTTGTAGGGATGCGAGGTCAATGGTCTACACGACTACAGCAAAATCAAGGATGATGACACTACCAGCTTCTGGGTCATCCTTGTGAAAAGTAGCCTGAGCCGGGGAAAACCGTGCATATCGCTCCGTCCCGGCATGGCAGGGATGCGAGGCCAATGGCCTGATGACTACGGCATGCGTTTACATGAGTACACCTCCTCCCGTTCCTCATGTCTCAGATAGAAGACCCTGCATACATGGCGACCGCCGCCGGGCTTAAAGTTCAAGAACATGTTTTGTGCCGTTTCGACAGCGTTTTCTTGGCCCCCTCTTCTTATTTCACAGTACACAATTGTTTCTGAGACAATTTCGCCCCCTTTTCTACCCCGCCTGCTTCTCGGTCTTATCGTCACAACAGCTAGCTGGGTCGGATTGTTTGACCTTTGCTTGGAGAGCTGCTGCCGCTGCTGCTATAGCTGCCGGGGAGCCGGGCGGATACAAAGAAAGAGAGCACCACAATGCGGCGACGGAGTCGGGCGTCTTCGGGCGCAAAATGCGGCAGCGGCCAGCCGCCCAAACTCGTCTGCGCGCTGGCCGCTTCCCTGGTGGCGTCGATGTGCGGTCTCCGCTGCATGGTGGGTTCGTTTATCGTTCCGTGCCCGCGACACGGACTGCTGTCCTCGACACCGCCGCCACCACGGCTGCCGTCAAGCCATCGAAGAAGAGCAGGTCGCAACGTCGCCGCCGTTGTCCTCAATCGCGAACGAGTGGGCAGAGGGGGCGACGCAAATGAGGATGGGGATGACGGCGGGGGGGGGGTGGGGGGGGTGGGGGG